GGAGCTGTTCTAATATGTAAAGATTATCAGTGTAACGTTCCGATCTTCAGCCAATCAGAACGCAAGCCCTCTATGCTGCATACCCCAATATAAATACTGGATATATGAAAAGTCTCTAAAGAACCTTTTTGCTAACCACTAAATGATGTATCTTAGTTGTAATTTTAATTATGCCGATAGATTCCAAAAATATAGTTATAAAAAATTTATAACATTAGCAGAGATAGTAAAATGGTTATTTCTGCGACTTGTGTACCCAGGGTATTCTCGGCCGGGTACTCATATGGGATATACAGTACCATATAAATACTTCTATGTTTTTATTAATATGTTTTACTATTACAAGCCCGGGTATATAAGTATGATACCCTCACACTTATATGCCCGGGTATAAATCAAGATTTGGCATCCAAAATCGCCGCAGGGTACACACTCTAGCGCTAGTTAGTAAAATAGATAGCCAATCAGCACACTCTAATTTCATATATTATCACATGATAACAGGATAATGACATGCCTTTGGCTTACCAAGGCATGCTTCAACCTTAAGTCAAATGCTGCGATATTTAAGAATTCTGTGATATTCTGTGTTACATCTTTTATAATTCTGCGCCTTTTCTAAGAATTCTCAGTGACTAAGTGTAGGAGAAATTCTGCTGCTTTCTGTGAATCACAGAAAATCATCGGCCCTGGGGTAAATACAGTATTGTAGCTAGTTTATCTAATTTTCTCATACGTATTCGTATTTTACTGGTTCTTAATTTTGGCCGACACAATACACCCTGGCCTGAATTATAAATTGTAAATTGCCGGGTTAAATTTAACGGAGCCTGCACCCATCCTTAACTAAATCTTATCTTTATCGTTAGTCTCTATGATTACTCTTTACCATATTTTCTCAACTCATAGGCAACCCGATTTCAAACTTTCATATGCCATCTAAAATTACCCTTAAAAATTACCTGAAATCAACGAGATAATCACATAAAAGGAAACACATAAATCACACAATTTATCCACCTTTGATATATCACTATGCTGTTTTTTTACTAAAATCCATAAAATCCATTGATGTACGCCACTTCATATTCACATGATATATACTGTATGTATTGATTAGATTAGAAACTTTGTAATGAGCTTTCATTCTGTATAAATAAATAAATAAAAGGGCCTTATTAAGCAACTAGGTCGTTAAAATCAAGATCGTACTTAATTTCAAAACATGGCGCAAGAAATATTTAATGGCCTAAAGAATCATCAAAAAACGGGAACAAGGCATATAATTTTTGATGGCCTAAAGAATCATCAGAAAAATAACAATCCGCGCTATGAGGTAGATATTAGATGGAATATTAAGCAAAATAATAGTCAACAGCAAAATGATAGTCAATCTTCCCCTTTTTCCTTTTCGGATGGAGTACTTTCTATTTATTTTACTTCTGAAGAACTGAAAGGTGAATTAGACCTGAAACCTTTCCCTAATCTCAGAAAAATCACTTTTCAAAACAATGTTCAATTTGATAATTTAGAAAGTATCGATCTTAGTAAAAATGAAAATTTGTGCAAAATAGTGATGGAGCAAACCGATTATCAATGGAATCCTTTTTTTCATAATTATAATTTTATTTTGTTAATTAAAGAAATGCAAAGTAATAGGATTGTTACATGTTATGACGTGACGAATACGACAATTCAATGCGTGCATCGATTGAAAAATATAAATATTTGAGAGAGCAGGCCATAATACCCTATTTATTAGTCGAAGATAGAAAACTGGAACAATTAGAGACTGAAATTGCAGAACTAAGACAATCTCTCAACTATAAAGATCAAATCATAACCGAATTAAATAAAAAAGCTCAACAAACTCCTACACTCAGTCAATTTCGAGAACTAAATAATATAGCTTTGGGTCGTACTGATATTAATTTTAATAAACTTATGCAAGAAATTAAAAGACTTAAATTGAAAGATTTTAATCCTTATTTTCAGGAGCAAAAAAATACCTTTGAGCAATTAACGGCTACAGCCAAAAATAAGGCAGGTGATAGTTTAAAATCTATTTTAGATCTTTTCTTACAGACAAGCAGGCAAATTATCGAATCCGAAGATAAGAGCAACAATTATGATTCCTTCGTTCAAGGGCAGTTACAGGGACAATTGAACACTTGTCGAACTCTCCTGCAAACTAAATTTACCCCAGAGGAACTAAGAAGTCTGCTAGATAAACAAAAAGGGCTTAGAAAGTTAGAAAAACATTCGGTTATTTTGCAATAGCAAAAATATATTCGCAAATAATATATATAAGAATTTATTTTTTTTATATATTTTCTTTTTATTTTTTATATATATTACTATATTACTATTTTACTATCGTTGTATTTTCATCATTTCGTTATTAAAAGTCATGGTTAAGAGATTAGAGAAGTGTATAAATTAACATACATTACGCTCATTACGCAAATAACTAATTTAATCGTGCAGTAAGCCCAGCAAACATACACTGATGATGCAAATTTAGCAATACTGTGCGGTGGTTGATCGAGAAAAAAATTATTCCAAAATACAACTATTTGAAACCTCAGCCATTATAAAATAAAAAAATTAAAAAACTAGCAGTCAAATTTAAATTTTGCAACACCTAAATTTGATAAAACAAGATTGCACGCCCGAAATTAGGTTTACGTGATCCTATATTATTAGAATCAATTTTTCGTATACCATCCAACCAGATTACTGAAAACACGGAACTAAATCCACCTTCACTTATTTTTTTTAATATTGTCTAATCTATCAAATGGAATCCATTCGATTATACTTTCATGATAATGGAACGAAATAGAATTAGCGGATTATACGTAAAGCTACATATTTTTTATTAGTGATCGCTCCACTTTGTAAGGATCACATCATTATCGCATTATTATACTTGATTATAAACTCTAAACACAAACTTTCTTGAATTGCCTTATCACCATACTGTAAATTCTCTCAGTATAATTCTGGTTTAATTACCTCGTTTTGAGAAATATTGAAGGTTATACCGAAAGACACTCGAAACGAAGGAATTCTAAAAATTGCATCGATGTAGTTAAATAAACTTTAGGTTATTGGTCGGTTACAAAAGGGGATCCGATCAACACACCGACAATCGCTTTGTAGACACTACGTACATTTCACTGACAATTACTTACCGACAAGTTCATTTTGCCGACAATTTATTTCACCGACCGAAGCTCATTTTACAGACAAGTAATTCTGGTCAATATCGTTAGGATCAGGTTAGAATTATTTAAAATTAGTATAATTTATAAAAAAAAAAACTTGTCTTCGGTTAAATAGACTATCGGTAAAATGAACTTGTCGGTGAATAATTGTTGGTGTCTATTAAGAGTTTGTCGGTGAAATAATACGGATCCTTATAAAAGATATCTATATAGAAGGTTTTTGACCAAAATTCTCACGTATCTTATAGCTGTATATCGAGATTTTACAATGAGAAGTTACACAAGGCATATAACAAAGCGACAAACTTATAATTATTATTACTTATTACAGTATTTTCACTAAAAATATATTAATTATAATGTTTTATAGACAGAAAGGGGTCATGTACAATATATCTTCAAACGTAATTAAGAAAAGTGAATCCCTATAAATCTACTATTCTTCTCTTTTAATCACATGATAAAATATAACGATGATGAAATCGATAACTGATAATGACAATTCCTAATGCGTATAGGGTGGGAACGGGTAACCCGTTGGGCCCGTACGGGCTTTTTTTGGAAATTAATTTGGGCCATTTCGTCAAAACACTAGTCACATGATGATTTA